ATATATATATATATAAAGATAAATCATTCAACAGTTACTAAAGTTTCTACCCCTTTTATTGTTTTTGTGCAAATGAAGGCAAAGGTTTCTTTGAACAATTCAAGTAATTTTTTTCTTTTCTGTCAAATGCAATGCCTTCCAGGCCTCGAAATACTGGCCCAAATTTGGAGCTGTACACCCAATATTTTTGCACCCAAATATTTTTGTAGGTTTAGGTAGGTAAAGTACAATATATTCTGAACATCTAAGTGTCAGAAAAATAATAAAATCATTGTCATAGCACTTTTCTTTAGTAATGAAACATAAGTAGTTGTTGCTGACATTCTATTTATTTTGTCTTATATGGCGCACCCAAAAAATGGTGCACCTATTCCTAAAAATGAATTTCGAGCCCTGCCTTAAATCTTACCAAACTTCAATGCTTTCCTGTCTTCGTTGGTGTCCTCAGCCTCATCTGTCTCTCTCTTTCTCTTCTGGACTTGTGCAGGCTGATGTGCCTCAGTACCTGAACATGGTCCAAATTTTCAACAAATTTATAAAATGCAAGTTTAGATACAACTGATTTTTCAGATGTGTTTAAGGTAAAGGTACTTTTAGCTATTGTGGACTAAAAATAGAATTGACTTGCAGGTAAAAGAAATCAACATGGCATAATTATTATGTTGCATAGCATAGACACTAAATCAGACAGTGGAACCTCAACTCACAGAGAACACATCCTTTACAGATCTTCCTTATTTAAGCTTTTAGTTTATCCAATCTTTGCATTGTGTTTATGAATCTTTCATGATTGTGCAACACCTCTGTTGCAGGATAGTCTCCTTTCCTTTCTCACTTATTCTCTCATCTTTTACAGTTTCTACCTCAGATTCTAACTGGCTGAATCTTTCCATTCTTTCATAGAATACATCAGTTTGTACATCTTTCTTAATCATGTCTTTTGGTTTATCAAGAAGAATTGTCTCACGCAGCAATATAGTGCTTTTTGTTCTTATAAACAGCTTAAATTTCTGATCTGTAAAAAAAGTAAAGTTAGGAATTCAGAAAAAAAGGAAAATTAAGATGACAATATTCCATGTATAATAAAAAGTTGAAATTTAGCATTTTAAAATGTGTTCCAAGACACAATCTTTCCTGGTTAAAAGTAGCCTTTTCATATTACATGCATTAAGTTATGTAGTTGTCATTTAGCAATCAAGCTGTATTCCATGAATAGAACAGTTGTACAAAAGTTGATAATACATGATTGTATCTCACTAAATTAAGTAACATTACTGTTGCTACTCAGTCAATCAACTGCTACTTGGAAAAGATACTGAGGTTGCTGACTTACTGTCAACTGATTTTTGATGTTTGTTTTGTTGACAAATGTTGCCATAAGTCTTACCTAGCTCCACAGATTCCCTGCTTCTGTTCTCATCTGTACATGTATCAAATTGAAAGAAAATGTAAATGAAGTTACAATTATTATTTATAGTAAACTTGATACTTGAATACAAGTCTACTTCAAAACTTTTAGTATAAGGATATAACAATGTGCTCACCTGTTTTTAAGGCTTTACTGCCCTCAGTCTCACCAATAGAGGCTGAACTTCTCTTTCTCTTCTGGGCTCTAGCAGGCTGAGTGACACCTGAATAAACGTTCAACTTAATATTTTCTCTGACCTTGTTTATATGTCTCTCCCTATATATATATAACTTGGCACAAGAGTTTGTTAGATCATATTTCTGTTGTTTCTTTATTAATTTCAATATATTACACATCATGAAAAAGCTTGACTGTGTAAATTTCCTTTCATCCATTTAAAGAAATGGCAGAAGAAGAAACATGAGGAAAAACAATTTGTCTTCAGTTTGTGAAGCCATAATTATTTTACAACATGGTGTATTCTGCATCATCATTCTCTGTACTAGCCCTCCTGTGGGTCAGATCTCCCTTTGGCCATACCACCCGTGGTCAGGGTGGTACCTCAGGTAATATACACTATGTTGTATATTTAAGTGCAGTCCTGCAATTACAGTCATGTCCAAGCCAGCCACCCAGGGGACCAAAGAAAATGGTCACCTTAGACAGGTGGTCTCCTTGAAAAGGGTCACCTCACAACAGGCATAAATGGTTTCCAAGTCAATATGTTAGAATGTCAAAATTAATGCTGTAAGCATCTTCAGTTCTGTGGTGAATGCATGTGGGGAGGGTGGCACTAAAATTTTTGGGACCAAGAAAATGCAGTCACCATGGCCAGGTGGCCAGCTTGAAGAGGTGGTCACCTTGGCAGGTTTGACTGTAATAGAAAATCAATGAAAGCAAAAGAGAGGTCTGTCAAATTTCCATGTTGGTCTGGTCTATACTATGACCCTCATTTCATAAGATATGAACTTCAACATAACAGATCTTGGCGACAAACACTACCTTTTACCTTACATACACTTTCATGGTTAACCGTACCTTCCTCTGTCTCCTGACTTTGAACAACACTTTGTACCTGGACTGGAACAGGCTGCTCTTCAGCATTACCTGGATACAGATACAGTTGTGTTCATAATCAATAGTATACAATGTAAAGTTGACTTGTACAACATACAACATGTATATCTGACTGTGTAGATGTTGGTTCATAAGAATGATGATAATTTGAAATTAAAGTTAAATCTGCTGTATGAATTTCTTAGCCTAGTGGGATGGGAATCTTTGAGAAGTCTATTTGTCAGCCAATAACAGTTTCTATTGACAAGTATAAAAACCGATTTACCTGTATCTGTACAGGCTTTGATTAACTGCAGATGGAACTCTTCCCAGTACTTTGTGGACAGAAGTTGCTGCTTGCCCCTTGCTGCTGTTTTGAACTCTGCTTTGTTGTGTTTCAGCATTCTTTCAATGCTCTGAGCCAAGAGTTTGACAGTGGCACGTTCATCACTTCCATCCATGTCAACAACGGAATGATGCAGTTCATCTACATGTTCATGGATGAAGTCTGCCAGTCCAGACTTGCTGGATACAAGAACAGGGACGCCTGCTGCGATGGCCTCCAGGCCGACCAGTCCAAACGGTTCAGCACGAGAAGGCATCAGGACCAGGTGAGCCTTCATCATCTCTTTACAGATGTCCTTCTGTGTGCCATAGGGGAGGAAGGTTACCTGTAAGTTTGCTGACTTACAGTGCTCTAGGATGGCCTTGGTTGCTTCAAAGTCATCTTTATTGAATCCTATGACATGCCACTTGATTTTGATCTTCTCTGCAACAGTGCTCAGGGTTTCAGCAGTAAGATCATATCCCTTCAGCTTCTCCACACCCTTCACCCTTCCAATGGACAGGACCACCATTGTCTCCGTGTCCTTGTATTCAACCTCTGCATCTTCAAAGATCTTAGAAGGTCTTGGAACAAACTTGACATGCTGGGGCCTCTTGCTGGCAGGTATAGCTCTGAACTGGTTCTCAAAGTGATCAAATATCTTGTTTCCAAGAGAGAAGACCACATCAGCCTCTTGTGCATCTTCAAGGATGGAGTCTTCCTTCTTCCCAATGCCCATGGCCTTCTCATCTCCCTTGTAGTACTCGGTGTCTTCTGGTATATCCTCAGTGAAGAGGATGACGTTTGCATGTGGGTATCGTTCTTTTTTAATCTTCACTGATGCCCTGCTTGTAACATCAGTATGACCCACAATACTCCTGACCATTCGGGGAAGATGTGGGTATTTGAGGTTGTGGTCAAAGGTCAGCCAGTCTAGTGTTGGATCAGTTCTGGAGTCATCTGGGTCAAGTTTAGGCAGTAACAGTTCCACTCCATCTTGTTGTGCATTCTGTATGTCCTCTTCTGTTGCATGTAAAACTGTACAGAACACAGGTATGTCTGGTACATGTTCCTTGAGTGTTTTTCCCACTTGTTGGTCGAGGGAGGAGGCTTCACATTTAGATGCACTGTACTCATCATTGACTAACAACACAGCAGGCTGATCTGTGATAGAGAAGTGGGTTTCATTATAGATCCACCATGAAAGAAAGACTTGGTCTAAAAACCTCTTCAGAAGGGAAAATATTTTAAATTTCTTTTGGTTTTGTCAAATATTTTAGGAGAAAAATGGAGTCTTTGCACACTGTGTTTTGTGTAGTTTTGTATACTGTGTTTTGTGGCCCACTGAATCCCTTAATACACTGTAGCTTAGCTGGCTCCAGTTAATGTGTGCAAATTAGGACTTTGACCTCAAAAACAACAGTTACAATAAACACTTCAGTTTTACATTTCTATTGCTATAAAATCATAAAATATTTACTGCTAAGTAGCTGTGGTCTGACATTGTTTCTGTCCATGATAAATAAATGGTGTTACCTTACTTCTGTATTCTACATAAACATGTCTGAGACTACTAAAATGATAACACCAACTTTTCCCAGACTGAGTGAACTTTCACCTCCATGCTACATTTTCTTTCATTTCATACTGTTGCTATAATTTCTGTTGTGGAAAATTCATCTCTATTGAACCATTGTTAAGCTGTATTCAGCCTTTTTGGTTTGGAAGCAAACAAAGAATTGCTTACCTTCTTTGTCAGAGTTAACATTGTCCAAACTTCTGGCGGCAGCCATTTTGTCATCTTTGTGATGTTTGCCTGTACTGTGGCATTGGAATGCTGGGTAGGGCTACTTGAGGGAAGTAAATATTTACTAGTCATGTGATCACAAGTTTACTAACCAGATAGCTGCACTCTGTGTGTTTGCTAAGTCAATATTATGGTCTCCAGATCTGTGTGCTCAGTAGTGTCCAGGCTTAAGTGAGAATTTCTCTTCACTTATTGTTATACCTACATGTATGAACATATAACAAGTAAATCTTTACAAAGTTAGTAATATTATATAAATAACAAACAGTGCAGTGTGCTCAAAATTAGCAAATTGTATTTTAACGGTTCCTCCTGCCTGATTTTGTCAGTGGTATATACATGTACATGTATGTTTTTTGCAAGATATGTTCAACTTGATTTTCTTGGTCATCAAAAAAATCCAAACACAGCGAACAGTTTGTAAGATTCTTGCGAACTGGTCACTATGTTTGGATTTTCTTGATCGTTGCCCCCACCCCCAACACACAGTGTTCTAAGCTGTTTGACAGTACTTGATGGTATGAATTTAGCTGTTCTTAACAAAAAAAAATGGATTCATGAATCCTGTTCCTGTGGGAAACCCCTTAACAGTGGAAGTTTTCAGATCATTTTCTTTGTGAAATGTTTGTTCTTGTACTTTCCCATTTTTCAGAACAGTACGTCTCTCTCCTTAGTGCTGAAATGCCATTACATCACCATTGATGTATTGCTTACATAAAGATTAATGTAGCTATGTAGACTCATGGAATGGTTTTCACATTGAGAAGTATGTTAACTATTTAGAGTCACTTTCAAGATGTGTTTGTGTGTGTGTGTGTGTGTGTTTGGTGGGTGTATGCATGCATGTGTGTGTACATATATGAGTTTACGTGTGTGTGTGTATGCACACATGTATATCATGTGTACACATGTTACTGTATGTATGTATGTATGGGTGCATGGGTGCATACATGTATTTGTATGTGTGTGTGTGTGTGTGTGTGTGTGTCTGTGTTCTTATACATGTATTTATTGCCTGGGGCAAGTTACTCCCATTCTATAAGTTATATGATACGCTTTTTCCTTAAATTAATGTAATGTTAGTTGCCATGAAAACATTTTTATAATGCCTCTACTGGTTTTTCTGACTTGAGTTTCAGCTGTTAGTCAGCTGGTACTAGGTAACCTGTCTGGAGTTACCACATGACTGTGTGTTTGTGTTATCTGTGCTCACACCTGTCCTCATTATTATTTAACGTCTTCCATTCTTACCGTTAATTGTATACTGGAAAGTACAGTAGGAATGGTCATCAGTATAATGGACAGTACAACGGAGACATCTAGCGTACCATTTCATTCTAATTCATTAGCCCTCAATGGTCACAACTTTTTAAAAAACACAAAGTAATAGCCATTTTATCATTGGGATAATATAAATATATGCTACTTTAACAGTAGTTAAAGTTATCCATGTTTAGGAGAGAACATAGGAGCTCTGTTCTCAGAATTGACAACAAATCTGGGGATATTCTTTGGGTGAAAATCAACAAAAGGACCTTTACTTATAAGTTCCCAAAATGCCTGCATTAAGCTTAGATTTGTACTGCCCATGTCATAGTTTTGTTTGGTACTTTTTTCTAGTTGTTAGAGTACCCAACCCTGTCCTTGGTGCTGAAATAACATCGAATTTAAGATCAACGATATTGATAAATTTATCAACCATATTGATCAACTTGTCAATAAGAATTTCTATAATAAAAGGTAAACAGACACCAATGGGAGACTCTGATGCAGTTTAGAGTGTAAATTATTGAAAATTTCATTGAATTCTAGAAAGAAATGTCAGATCTTGTTTAATACAGCATGTGTGCTCTACTCTTTTCTAAAGCCATGTCATATCTCACTACATTGTAAGCAGCCAGGATCCAATTAATTTTGTTTTACATCTGTTTTTGTGTACCGTAACCTCTTTTGTCAACCTTGATGATGAATATCAATATATGTCATCTTTTGACTTGTGGACTGGAGTTTCTTTTGTTTTATAATCAATTCTACATACATGTAGTACAGTGTCTGAATCTTGAGAATACCGTTTACCTTTTCTCTTTAACAGTATTGTTAAGGTCTATCCTGATGTGTTATTTACAACAAAGGTGAGGTAGTATAGGTTCAACATGATATTGTGTCCCAGATACCACAGCAATACAGATAGCATTTACAATATGTACATATAAACAGCAAAATGCTGTTTCTGGTGACTTGTAAATTTACTGCAAAATTAAAGCAGCTTCCATTTTTGAAATACCGTACTAGTAAATAGTATATTGACCTGTATATTGTCATTAAACAAGTTTAGTCATTTTACTTTATACAGTTTTATTGTCTTGTACTGTAAAGTTGTTACCAGTTCTGTATTGTTACAGATTAGCCAGCTCCTTGGAAATGTCCTCCTGTTGCTGTTTGTTTCCTGTCTCCATGGCGATGGTCATTGCTGTTTTATAGTGAGATCTGGCCAGGTCCAGTTTACCCAGTGCCATGTAGGAATCAGCAATGTTTTGATGTGCTGTTATCTGTCCAGTCTTGTCTCCAGTCTCTTGTCTCATTCTTCAGGTACTTCTTGTTCCACTCCAAACTTTCCTCATGCTCCCCCATGTCATAATGGGCCAGTCCAAGTCTGTTGTAAGCATTCCCTTCGTCTTTCTTCCTCCCCAAGTCCCTGGCTAGTGCCAACATCTCTGTGTAGTACTTGTGTGATTCCTGTGGTTCATGTAGCTGTTTCCTGTGTAAATCACCCAGCTTACAGTAAATGTCCATCTGTTCAGTCTTGTTTCCTGTCTCCATGGCGATGGTCATTGCTGATTGATAGTGAGATCTGGCCAGGTCCAGTTTACCCAGTACCTTGTAGGAAGCAGCTAGACATTGATTTACTGTTATCTGTTGAGTCTTGTCTCCACTTTCTTGTCTCATCTTCAGGTTCTTCTTGTACCACTCCAAACTTTCCTCATGCTCCCCCATGTCATAATGGGCCAGTCCAAGTCTGTTGTAAGCCAGCCCCTCCTCTTCCTTCCTCCCCAAGTCCCTGGCTAGTGCCAACATCTCTGTGTAGTACTTGTGTGATTCCTGTGGTTCATGTAGCTGTTCCCTGTGTAAATCACCCAGCTTACAGTGAATGTCCATCTGTTCAGTCTTGTTTCCTGTCTCCATGGCGATGGTCATTGCTGATTGATAGTGAGATCTGGCCAGGTCCAGTTTACCCAGTGCCTTGTAGGAAACAGCTATGTTTTTATGTGCTGTTATCTGTCCAATCTTGTCTCCACTTTCTTGGCTCATCTTCAGGTTCTTCTTGTTCCACTCCAAACTTTTTCCATGCTCCCCCATGTCATAATGGGCCAGTCCAAGTCTGTTGTAAGCCTGACTCTTCTTGTCCTTCCTCCCCAAGTCCCTGGCTAGTGCCAACATCTTTGTGTAGTACTTGTGTGATTCCTGTGGTTCATGTAGCTGTTCCCTGTGTAAATCACCCAGCTCACAGTAAATGTCCATCTGTTCAGTCTTGTTTCCTGTCTCCATGGCAACAGCCAAGGCTGATTCATAGTTAATTTTTGCATCTAACACTTGACCTGACAGTGCTAATGATGAGGCCAGGTTTTTGTAAGCTACACAAATATTAGTAAATCTTTCTAACTTAATTCTGTGGATACTTAATGCTCTCTCGTGGTATCTTATAGCCTCTTGTTGCTTACCTAACATACCATAGGTTAGACCAAGTCTGCTGTATGCCTTGGCTTGTTTTGTGTCTTCTGACAGTTCCTGAGAACACTGCAACATGTTCTGGTAATACTGCAGAGCTGACTGTAAGTTGTGTAGTTTTGTCCTGTAGAAATCTCCTATCTGACAGTACAGGTCAAACTGCTGCGACTTGTTTCTCTTTACTGCAGATGTGTTCAGTTCAGCAAGGATGAGATTCAAGTTGACTTGGGGATATTCATCCTCTGAAGGAAAAAAAAGATTTAATTAAATAATTCTCTTAAGACCATACCATGGAATGTTCGCAGGTAACCTCTATATGGACATGTTAATGTTGGAGTGTGCAAAGACAATAAGAAAGGCAACAACAAAAGCATCAACAAATTTAAAGTTCTGTAGATCAAGAATCCCATTTTTTAATACCACAAGACCTTGTATAGCTTTGGCCCATGCCCTCATCTTTAAAGACAATATGCAACAGTTCCTAAAAATAGTCAAACATGATAGATACTATTCATTGATCAAAGCCATTTGGATAAAAAATAAATCATCCTTGCAGTTCTTGATTTCTGATGCCAATTAATCCTGGACCAAGTAAGTGCTGACAATGATATCACGATAAGCAATATGGCTATATTTCAGATCCTGGCACCACGGCTTGTATATAAGATTCTTTCAAGAAGCAAACAATACATTATTATTGTAACTACATGGAATTGTACGTTATTAAATGTTTGCTTTAAATTTGTTTTAGCCTTCTCAAAGGAACTTTTTTCACAAGCCATCATGCTCACTGTGAATTTGGCAGAATTTAATTGGATTAACTAGTGGCAGCAAAAATCAAATCGGATTGGGATAGTAATGTAACAGTCCTCCTATAAGACTCTGGTCCATTCAGAATAACTCTCATATTTGTGTGCTCAGGTGACTTTTTTTTTTAAGGAGGATGCCCAGACCAAATGTTGTTACACCGAGAACTGGCAGATACATGTATGAAGTTCAACTCCACTTTGACTTGTTTGGTGAAAGCTGATGTATATAATGATGTTGGTTCCTTTCTTTAATTAAAGAAAACCCACATATGCAGAAGGTTCTTTACTTAAATTTACCTGTAATCTTAAAAGCAGAAGATGTCCTGTCATCCTCAGACAAGATGCTTGCAGCTGTGCCATATCCAGTAGGTTGAATGGAAGTGTGCAGCAAGCCCAGCTGTGATGTCACCTGTTCAACCTGCACACCTGTGGATCTGTGCTGATCACCTTTGGCAGGTGCTACTGTAACAATGGCACCGGTATAAACTTGTCATTCAAATATCATATAATTGGGAATTATATACAATAGGCATGTGGCAATATAGTATAATTGAATAATGGCAATTGAGAGGCAGTAGAATGTCAACAGCACATTCTGAGAAGTTGTGATGGCAAAGGTTTGACAAAGCTGATAAACTTAAAATTCATCTCTTACCTAAGTCTGCTCCCCTCTGAAAGTCTTCCTCATCAACCTCAATGTGCACATGGAGTGGCATCCCTCCACATATCTCCACCAACTCCTGGCTGATGTACTCCTCAGTCAGGATGGCTGACAGGGTTCCATCTCTACAAGCTGACACAAACTCTACCTGACTGTCCCTATGGTAGAACCTTAGCTTACAGAGAACACATCCCTCACATAGCTCCCTTATTTCAGCCTTTAACATGTGAAGTCTTTTCATTGTCTCTTTGAACCTTTGCTGATCATGCAACACAGTTCTTGTGAATAGCTTGTTTATAATGTTTAAAAGGGTCTTCTTTCCTTCTTCACTAATAGTGTTATCTTTCACTTCAGACTTCAGCTGTTTATACATCTCCATTCTTTCATTGAACACTGCCTCACTCTGTACATCTTCTGTGATCATAACTTCTAACTTACTGAGGAGAATTCTTTTTCCTTCCGAGGAAATACTGTCTGCCACTGTTATGGACAACTTTACTTGCTGATCTGAAAAAAAAGACAAAGTTTTGCATGGATGGTATTCTACTCAATATGATGAGTTAAATTTCTTGTTTCGTTTCAGAATCTGTTTCTCTTCCCTTTACTCGTGTACCATTGTATATATCAAAGATGTAATCATGCAACATAAGTTTCTACCCCTGTATTTTGTGCAAATAGATTCTTGGAGCAAAAAAAAAGTTTCTTGAAGCGATTTGACTTAATATGTTTTCCTTTCTGTCAAATGTAATGCCTTTAATCTTACCAAACTTCAATGCTTTCCTGTCCCCATTGGTGTCCTCAGTCCCATCTCTCTCTCTCTTTCTCTTCTGGACTTGTGCAGGCTGATGTGCCTCAGTACCTGAACACAGTTCAAATTTTCAGCAAAGGTAGAGGACATAAAATCACAATTTGACACAACTGATTGTTCAGGATATGAACGATCCCTTGTATCTTATAATATATAATAACATACATTTGAGGTTTTTCTAGAGCTATTTTTGTAGACTAAAAATCAAATTGAGTTGCAGGTAGAAGGTACACTACATACCATAGACACTAGATTAAACAAATTGACAGTTTCTCACCTGACCCTCCGCATGCCTGGAGGAAGCACCGATGAGACTCTTCCCAGTATCTGGACTCCAGGAGTCTTTTCTTCAGTTCTGCAGCCCTACTGAACTCGGCTTTAGACATCCTCAGAACATTCTCAATCTGATTTGCCCAATGTGTGACATCTGTAGAATCATTACCTGTGATGGCAAGTACAGAGTGGTGGAATTCTGGTACGACCTCATTGACTAAGGTTGCAAGTCCTGATTGGTCAGATATGAGGACTGGTACGCCAGCTGCCATGGCCTCCAGACCAACCAGACCAAAGGGTTCTGTGCGGGAGGGCATGAGAACCAGGTGGGCCTGCTGCATGTCTCGGCAGATGTCTTCCTGGGTGCCGTGTGGGAGAAGTGTGGGGATCAGTTTTCCTGAGTTGATGCTGGTTTGGAGACTGTTCATACTGGCCTGATACTCCTCTTCACTGACACCACGAATCCGCAGCTGGATTCTTTCGTGACTTCTCTTTGCCACCCTTGCCAAGGACTTTGCTACAAAGTCAAGACCTTTCAGCTTCCCTACTTCTTTAACCCTACTGATCAACAGAACAACTTTCTCCCTGCTCTCTACATACTCAACTGTGGTTTCCTGAAATATCTTGGATGGTTCTGGAAGAAAGAGTTTGTGAACTGGCCTCTTGTCTTTGGGAATTGCACGAATACTGTTTGTGAGGTGGCCATGTGTTCTGTGTCCGACAGAAAACAGAGTTTTTGCCTTCTCTGCATCTTGTCTGATAGAGTCTTCCTTCTTCCCAATGCCCATGGCCTTCTCCTCTTCCTTGTACTTCTCTGTGTCTTCAGGTATAGTCTGGGTGACAATACTGATGCTTGCTTGGGGAAAACGCTCTTCCATGATAGTTGCTGCTGCTCGGCTAGTGACATCAGCATGGCCCACAATCCACCCTATATCCTGTGGGAGTCTGGGATAGCGGATGTGGTGGTCAAAGGTCAGCCAATCCAGACAATGTTTTCTTGTGTCTCCTTCTTTGCAGGTTGGGAGGATGAGCTCCACTCCATCAGCCTCAGCACACTTTCTGTCCTCCTCTGTATCCTCCAACACCAGACAGTACACTTTCCTCCCTGCTCCTGTCAGGATTTGAACCACCTGTCGGTTCATGGTGGAAACGTCGTCTTCTTTAGATGTGGCATACTGATCACACACAAGGAGAACTGAGCTGGACTCTGCTGAAGTGAAATAGAAGAATAAGTTTCCCATGTTGTAAGTGATTCACTTCAAATTATTACCTCCATGAAAATGCCATATAATGATTATTACTTAGACATGGTAAATGATGGGAATTTCATGCTTGTTACATAAGTATGTAACATCACTATGTGTGAATTGTGTAAATGTAAAAGCAATTTAATGCTGAAATGTTTACATGGAATTCAGCCAATTGGGAAAATGGGTAGTTTACGTGCTGGTTTTCTGCACTTTCGGGCATCACAAGACTCTTTTCTTTAATGGAATAATGCTGTCATACATGTACTACGTCAGCAGTTAATGATGACTGCACATATCAATTAATAAGCAATAATATCACAACACAAAAACTCAGCAATACAATGTACAATGGAGGTAGAAAGTTTGCTGCTTTAGAAGGATACAGCAGCAAAACAGTTAAAGCAGTATACTTTCATACCACTCCTTTTGTATTCAAAACAATGTACATGTATGTGCCAGAAATAATTGACCTACCCATGTTTATCTTGGTGCTTCATCTGTCGACTTTCGCACTGTCTCCATCTGCTGCTGGAGAGAAAAACAAAATATTACATGTGTAGTGTTCTGGGTTCTCTCCAACACTCAAGAATACTCAATAATGAATCTCACACTGGAGGAGTTTTCATGACTGTACTCTACGGTGTTCATGTATACAGTGACAGGTTTGTAGGAGGGCTAAGTCTAACATCTGGGTTCTTATTTAATTACTGGTGCGTGGCCTTGGTCTGCCTTGGTATGCGTGGGTGGAGCAGTCCTAACACATTTACTTAGTTCACATCACTACAACATGAAAAAAACAAAAGCATTATGTGGCCACGACACAATTTATTATACTTATTTTAAGAAATTGATGTGAGGATAAAACTATAACAGGTTCTTCGAAACGTAAACTTAGGTTTCTTTGTGGTGTTGACTTTTGCTGCAGTGATTTTTTTTGTACCAGGAAGTAAAATGTTTGGTAGCCATGCAGAAAGTTAGCAACTCAACAAAGATTAACTTTCAACTTTTTATGGAAATTACTGTTGTAACGTTAGATAGTGACACAAGAATGTCTTCTTTCATGTTGTTACAGTCAAGAACCAAACTCACCTGTGGTAGACTCAAAAATCATGCCCTTGTCCATGATCCCAACCCATCAGGGGGCCAGGTAAAGGTAGCGTCTCTGGCTTAAGGTCAAAGTGCACCTGAAAAGTGAGACTTGTTACAGTCCTTCTCATTGGCCGATCTTAATGAAAATGTTCTCTATCTTTCCGATAGTTACTTCTGTCCAAATGTTAGTGAATTTTTTTGCTGCTGAACTTTTTCCTCATATTTATGATTAGTTTTACTTCAGGGAATGGCAAAAGTTATTCAACATGACAATATTTTTCAAGGTCGCACCACTTGGAGATCCCCTAACTTACACCAGTGCAAGGTCAGTTACACCTAGTCATGGGGCGTACCACAAAGAATTGCAGGGGTGCCAAAATTTTTTAACCTCTCATTCTTGTTCCTGGAGGTCATGACCTAAGATATCATGGTAGCTTCTCAGTAAGGGTTGTACTTCTTATTACATCTTACATGTAGTTCCATTGCAATATTCAGTAAAACTTACAGTACTGTAATAAGCAGTGTGTGGGTAGTGGATTAGAAGGTTCTCAGATACGTTTGATTTGGTTTGCCCCCAAGCCACACTGCCAATGTAAACAATAAGTCAATGCACGGTGGATTGCACAGCACAAAACATTAGCTGGTTGAGTGATTTGACTAGCTTGTGTATGTTTGCGCTTGTGGCAGTCCTACCAATTGGTAGTAATTGATGATTCGAGTTATGAATAATTACTAGATCTGTGCCACTGAAAGATAGCCAGTGTCTAAATAGTTCAAAGTGTAATGAGGTCGTTTATTTGTTTCAGTCAAAATTGGCCGTGAGCGGTTGCGTGCATCGTTCGTTGCGCAAGTGGTGATTTGTACGTGCTTACAACGTACGATCTCTGTCGCGATTGCAACTTTACCGTAAGTAGGCCGTACTCGCACATGCTTTTTCCACACGGCACGTACGGGGCACGCGCGTTGATCGTACTCGCACGCACGGGTGGTGAATCCGTAGACCGCACGTAGAAAAAGTTTTACATGTACTACGGCGTGTCTGCGTGCTCCCAAATCTGTAGGATTCCGTACGGAGGCGGTACTCACCACGCACGGATGCCCTACGTTTGCCCACGTTTTTGCACGTAGACAGCACGCACGGCGGGTTGTGACCAAGGCTTTAGGTATATTTCATATTGTCTGGTTTCTATGTAGATATACTCTCAAGTATTCATGAGGTGACAAAAATGACGACCATCCAATATGCCACTGTGAGCAATTTAATATATTGTGGGAGCCATTATTCACATGCACAAGTTCTGTGGGTACAAGTGTCCTTCACACACAAAATGACACCATTTCAACATTTGTCAACAATTCGAGTATCTATGTACATGTCACCTTCCATGGGGCTAGTGTGGAGACAATTTAAATTCTTGGCAATTCTGGGAAATTTATAATTCTAAGAGGTCTCAGCTTATTTTTCATGTAAATTGCAAATCATTTGAAGCTACGATCTGTTATTATACGTGTTCAATGGCAAAACATACAAGTATTCAACACAGTAAATGCAAAAAATCTAGGCAGTTTTCGAGCACCACAAAATGCCATAGATTGTAAAATTCATTTTCTACCTTAGACGTTTACAGGAATTTTAAGGCCTACAGATGTTACTACCGTAGTTGAAAACTTTGCTGCCAAGGCTTACAGACATAGCTAAGTCCTTTTTCCATACATGTACATTTTACATGTACCAAGGACATTATATAATGTCCTTGCATGTACCTATGGTCTTTCTCCATACATGTACATTACAATTTCTCACAGATACACTTTTCTTGCACATAATAATAATTGTTATTCTCTCCCAGTGGTAACTTTTACAAAATAAATAGCATGCTAAAATACATATGGCTTGTCTTTTGAAGGTTATAAAAATAAAGTTTTAAAATTGGCACTGAAGATTATGCAACAGTAATATGTACTGGAAGCTATTGCTACTACTACATCATGTATATATATATGACAAAATGTATTTGACTCTGATTACGTAGCTTAGAAACCAAATGGTAGCAGTACAATATATGCTGTTTGTTCATTGTAGTTGTCCATGTAATGTATACTATGTAATTGTAAACGATTCAAAAGTAGGTACAATACCTATAGCAAAGTTTCATAAATATATTTCATAAATACTATCATAGGACCAGTCCTTCACTTCCTATTGGCATTTAAACCATTGCGTCAAAATGTAAAATGATATAACAGTAACTAGAAATAATTTTACTATTAATTGAATGCCTGTGAATTACACAAGTAGTGAATTTTGTCTGTCAAGTGCTTGCTGATATTGAAGATACATGTTTACTCCTCATATAGTCCCACACGATCCCAAAGCCATTGTCAAAATCTAAATTTCCTTCAACACGACACTGTCTAAATTACATCCTAGCATTTTACATACCACAAGTGACAACCCCTACTTCTGCCAGTACAAAGTTGTGCCAATATCAAATACTCTTCCTTTTTCTGTCGCACAAACATGCAACAATTGATCAGTACCCGCCAATCAACATATTTTTGTACAACAACCCAGTTTGATACACACTAGCAAAGTCCATTGTTTGTCTGAATACAACACTCTGGTTCATACTGAATGATTCCATGACCGAGTATCTAATAGAAAAATTAATGACCAATGATTTTACTGTACTTCTTGGTCATTAGTAGAAATTTGGGTGTATTCTTCTTCTTTTCCTTCACAAAGCAATATTAATTTAGGTCAATTCTAGTCTAAAATGCATTTAAAATGGTGGCTATACAAGTCGATACACCACTGTCCACTGTACCATACTAGTTCTTCATAGGCACTAACTATCGTACAGACTGATAAATAAGCTGCATAGATACCATTTTCCCAAGGTCCAACCTAGAATATATGTACAAGTAGGCTGGAATTTCTATACATTGTCCAGTATTTTTATGTTGTAATCTCATCCCAAAACTTTTATCCAGTGAAACAGATCAAAAATCCTTCAAGAAATACCTTCAAGAAAGATCTTGATGCTGTTTCGAATTGAAATCATACTCCTTTACAATCCTTCAATTTTTCAAATCTTCATACAAAAGTTTCAACAACAGTTTCAGAAGATTTCCTCCGTTAAAAAGTGAAAAAAAAAAGTTAAGAACGCTTTACAGAAAAGGTCACGTAACTCATTGAAAGAAAAAAAATATAGAAGAATTTTTAAAATTCTCATTACCGGTACTTAACCCATTCTCTATCAAATACAGGGTGGTACAAAAGTTCTGGAATGCAATCAAGCCAGTCAGCTTTGTCCTCTGGGTTACATGGAGTTTGTCTTGACTATGGGGCTACAGCAGAGAGTTGTTAATTTGTTGTGTCTGCAGGGGAGAGTGGCCAAACTTTTGCCCCACCCTGTAACATGGCCCTTCAGCGATGCTTCCTCTACATGTACTTTATCTACAGCCATCAGTGACGTGGCAGCACGCACGACCCCCCTGCAGGAAAGACAATGGAGCAGTCCGTCAGTATTTTTCAAGAAAAAAAAGTTGAATAAAAACCATTTTAAAGGCCTGTTTAAAAAAAATGAAAAAAAAACGTCTGGGGATATTTGCCCACTCTACCTTCATGCCAAATTTCGGATCATTCAGCTGAAAAATGGCAGAGATGAATCCCTTTAAAGAAATGGCAGGAGGAGGAGAAACATGAGGGAAAACAATACATTTCTCCCATACTATTATGGGTGAAATGTAACAAAAACACCAAGTATCATAATTGCAAATGGGAAAATAACAATAATGAAACTTACTATAATTAATGTAGATATGATCAACTTAATTCAAATTTCCAACTTTTCATAGTTTTCAAAACTAGCTTGATATCCATCCGTTTCTACCTCTGTTTGCTCCTTTAATCGCTTCCTTGAAGAAAAACCTATCACAGAAGCAATCAGCATTTAGATATTTGCCTAAGACATAGCAGAGACTTTGCATTGACTCGAAGTTTCATGGTCCTTGTAATGGCATGGTAACAGGGTTCAAACAGGCATTCAGAAGTTCAAATCCTATCACGCTGCTTCTGCAAAATATTTGATTCATGCTTTACTGCAGGACGAAAGGATTAAATGTTTAACTGGGGACAGAGCCAGACTATTCTACATGGAACCAATCTTCGAAATGAACCAGAGCTAGACTTGGATGGATTCCAGGCTGTCAGAGAGCTACCTGCCATAGATCTACATGTACTGATGTCTTGATGTTGAACCACCACATTATAGTTATAGTATGGAAAACCATGTCGACAATATTGAACATTACTTGTATATGTACCATAATAGCCTACCGTGTTAGTTTTACTGAGTATGTGGATTGTAAAATTTGGCGCAATTCAGTGTATACTGCAAGGCCAATTTGTCCCATGTTTTTATCAATAAACCATTTACTACTACTTTTATGAAAAAGGTACCTTAGATATCTGCCAGAGAATGAGAGAAGTCACTGACCTTGCACTCACAACGTGTGCACGGCTCATCCTTGGGTGCCCAGTTAGTGCTGGCAGCGTACACTATACCATTGTGCATGCAGGTCTGCAGGAGGTCAGAGGTCACCTCGTTGGTGGGCAGGAAGCAAGGGTCACACCTAGGTCAAGGGTCAAAAACATAATCATTGTTACAACTGGAAAAAGTGATGCTTTTACTTTCCAGGTTAAAATTAACCATTAGCATGGTTGCATATGGCGTTGCCCATCTCAGTTTCTGTAGCCTTGGGCCACACAATTGTGTCATCACAGCAGGGGGATAGTCCACTGGTAGTGGTGTGTGTTTAACTCCCATTCTCCATCTCAAATGAGAAAGCAGTATGTACCATTTTTAAAGTCTTTGGTATGACTTGGCCAGGGATCGAACTCACGACCTACCAAATGCAAGGTGAGCACTCTACCCACTTTATATTTGGGAATTCAAATTTTCATAGCAGTTGGGGAAAAGGAGGTGAACTGTTTAAAGGTTGAAACATATGAGCAATATGCTCAGTAGTAGCAGACATTCGTCGGTCTTAAAAGACCATGAAGTACTTCATCTACACCCTGTACTTATTCTTATTTTTGCGCCTAAAGCATCTCAGTTCTGATGCGAGTCTCTGTTTTGCTTCCCCCTATGTAAGCCCTTCTTCTTCTCTGATATGCTCAGTAATACGATGTAAGCCCTTCTTCTTCTCTAATATGCTCAGTAATACAATGGAAACACATGTTCACGGTGTCATGAAGACCTCACCTTGGGCAGCACTCCCCCTCAGGTATGTAGGTGTGCTTACAGGAGAGCTCCGGACACGTCAGGGGGGAGCAGTCTATCTCTCCCTTCTGTCAACACAAAAAGGAACAACAGTTACAGCATAACATCATTCTCACATGCACACAAACATATAACATGGTGTCTTCCATATCATGCCAGTTACTAGCCTGGCTGTTGCTCAATCCAGTACATGGACCAATGCCGGAAGACATAAAAAATACCTGCACAGCCCCAATTTTACCTACATTGAGGTGCATATGCACCCAGTATTTCAAGCCCTGCACTGGTATTTGACAAAGAATGGGTACTGATCTAATTGTACATTAATATCAGCAATGGACCCCCAGACCATTCAGCACCTGATGCACAGTTGCAGGCTTGGTCCTACCTGCACAGACACAGATCTCCAGGAGGCCAATGAAGCAGCGCAGAACTGGCTGGAGTGGATTGGCGACAAGCTATGATGATGATGATGATGATGATGACATTAATAAATTAAGTACAACATGTAATATGATTATTTGATGATCTAGAAATAAACTTGTGATCTCCACTTACCACGCACTTGCAGATCTGACACTGGTACATCCAGGTGTCACTGCTGTTGTACACCATCGTCTGGTCCTGGTGCAGACAGTTCATGGTGCGATCACACTCCGGGCAGCAGTACATGTCCGTGTTCTTGTCCTCACAGTTACAGGAGTCCTCTCGGCAGGTCACAATACTGTCCTGTTGTGTCAAACAGACAATGTCACATCACAGAGTCCTAAAATTGTGCACCTTAGGAACAAGCGGTAGCCATGCCAAAGTCTCAACAAGTGACAATCATGTGATTTGCCTGATTTTAAGGTACTGTGTCTGAGCAAAACCCAAGGTTTCGTTGGATGTTTTTGGTCTACATTGCATCAGAACTTTGCTTGTGGCAACAAATGTTGTGTCTTTTTTCAACAAAAAATTGAAAACTATAGACAGGATGTTATCCTTAAATATGCAAACACATTCTTAGATGAGAGATGTGCTACATGTGATTATCATGTGATGATACTGGTATGAGGAGGGTATTGACATCATGTAAATATTGACTCAGACAGGAGTAGCATCCATGTGAAAATCATGTGACGATCATGTGACGATCATGCGACACTGACCTGACAGGTGCATGTCCCACAGCGGTCCCCATCTGGTCTCCAGGTCTCCCCGTTCCTGTATTCGCTGTCCTCGTATATGCAGCTGCCCGAGCACGTGGCTGGGTCGATACACTTACACTTGTAGGAGCCGCCAATGTTGATACAGTCCGTGGTGGAGGGACAGTTGTGATCACCAGTCCAACACTCGTCAATGTCTGAGTACAGAAATTTCAAATTAACCTTTAGCACACTTAGCTACCAATATTCTCTTTCAGTTATGGGGGTTGGCAGCAGGGAGAAGGTTAAATGCTAAAAAGCCTATTGTCTCACCTCAACTGCCCAGAATTTAACATTAGGAACAGCGGAAAGTTTTCATACAACAACAAAGCATATATCAGCACCAAGGACAGGCCATAAACAAAAAAAGGTAATTTATCATTATAGTGTTCTAGTAAGGGCAGAGAGGAGCATTTGGACTGCAGAATTACTTTTAAGGTCAAGAGAAACATCACCATTCAAAAACTATCAACAATGTTGTGGCAAATCTAATATTACTTCTAGAATGGATGGCTTTGGTGATAGTGCCCGGAAAGTACTAGTATATGATATGATACAATACACAATCATGTGATTGACTCTAAATAAGATGAAGGGGTCAGAACTGACAATTCCTTTGTATGAAAATCCTAATATAAGATATGTATGTATAATGATTGATACTGAATGAGGTAAAATCCAGAATTAATTTAACAAGTGTTTGTATGGAAATCAATTGTTTTCTTGAAACAGCTCACCTTCACATGCCCCAATCTGCATCCTGTTCTCGTTCCTCTTGCTCTTGTAGCCAGGCTTACACTGGCAGAAATACCAGCCGGGCAGGTTCACACAGTCTGAGTGGTCAGGACACGGGTTCCCTGCCGCACACTCGTCTATGTCTGAGGAAAACAAGTTTGGTTTCGTAAAGCCAATTATAATTAAGAAGAAGAATGAAGACCTTTATTGTACATTTTGCCCCACTGGGCTAAAGACAGGTCACATATTGACAAAGTACATCAATGTTGATAATAAAACTGCTATAGTACACAAGTACTTTTAACTTCCTCTCGCTTTCTGGTAATCTTATAAATGTAGTTGGCAGTATGAGTAGTTAGAGCTGGTTTGTTATAATGGTAAAGATGAATATAGTCGTGAGTTGATGACTTCTACAGAATTTGTCACTTTGGCATCAAGTCTGTGGCTGTGGGCTGTCATAGTATCTTTATTACCTCCATGAAATTCATGGAGGTATTGTTGTTGGTGTGTCTGTCAGGAACACAGACAGGAAGTTAGGTCAAAGGTCCCAGAATAGGTGATCAAAGGTATCTTATTTCTTGTCTCCAATTTCCTACTTTACATTTTTGCATGTCTCTTGCCTTATGGGTGCCAGTGGGAAAATGCATTGACAGAATCAGAATTTTTTTCTTTCAATTCACAAGAAAATAATGAAACAAGAAATTCACAAAAAGTCTAAATACTTCAAGAAAGTATAAGATCTTTGATTTCCTGTTAAAATCTGTGGCCATTTAAAGTGATGAGTTGCACGGATGGAAACTTAATGATAAGTTACCCCATAGCCATGAACTATATTACTATAGGTAATATACCTATTCACATCCAGAGAATTGAGTATTGATAGTGATGGATACAATCCAGGGTCTTCAAATGGGTCATTCTGACTAACAACTCCAAATCTTCCCTAATACTTTTGTCTGTTATCACGTATCAATCATAAAAGTACTTTTGTACAATTTAAGAAAACTACAGCAATCACAGCCATTACGTTAAGGAAATCTACGCAATTATCGTTAAGGCCAGTAATCATGCCATGATCATGTGACAGTTCCACCAATCAGGAGCAGAGTTTGCCATTATCATGTGACGATCATGTGATAATCATGTCGCAGTCATCTACCAACTGCAGCAATCACAGTCAGCGCCTACATATAACTGCAATCGAGGAAGATGGCAGTAGTTGCTTACCTGTTTCGCAGGCGTCTCCAGTGAATCCTGTGGGACAACTGCAGTAATCAGGCGCAATACACAGTCCTCCATTCTCACAGGGAGTAGTGCACTTCGCTGAGGGATAACAAGAAAAATAGGCATTTTGAACAGACAGTGGAAGGAAATTCTGTCATTGCTGCATATATTACATTTTTTTTACATAACTGGTAAACTGCCTTAGGGCAAAACACATCAGTTTAGTACAGTAAGTACAAGCTGCGTAAAACCAGACTGTAAAGTAACCCACACAGGGAAAGTACCTTACCCTTTTCAGTAAGTACGTTCTGACAGTGCTACTCCACATTTACAAACCCAACAGGAGCTAGTGCCTTTCTGCTAAAGGGAAAAAATTGGGGCCTGCTAGAGATTCGAACCCAAGAGTTTCAAAGTCACAACCCTAGCAACAAGACCACCTAGCCCTATGCCTGCATACTCTGTACACACTGTCCTGAGATGTTGAACCTGCAACTTGTTTTAACAAGTTGCTGTTGTTATAAAAATTTCTCTTCTCCCTACAGGCATATACAGTCAGTACTAGTGCTTAAAAGTTTGAGAATTGTACTACTTACGTGTGCAGGCCATCCCGGTGCCCTCAAAGCCAGGGTTACAGCGACAAATGTAACTACCCATCGTGTTTTCACACTGGGCGTTTTGGTGGCAGTGGTGCAGGCCCAGGGCACATTCATTCTGGTCTGAGGAGAAAATCACACTTGAAATTACACACATGTTGGCATTCCAGGAAGACCGTGAGACTAATTATTTCAACCTTATGTTTTCGATAGACTTTTCTATTCTTCTCCTTCTGTACAGGCTTTTATGTCATACCTGAGCTTTGATAATATTAGATATGGATGTTTTGGACTGGACTGTACTAAACAGTATCCCACAATCTTCTACCTACATGTACATGTATATCCCATGGTTTTCCAGAGAATAAATGAAACTTGCATTGCGACATGCACATGTTGCATTAAAATGTGTGCTTTCTCAGGTGGGTACGACATAAAAAAGAAATTCAATACAACTTCTGCTTGTCAGATCGCCATCTGCGGTTGGGCTGGTATCTCGGACCATACAAAATACACCATGTTGTACTCTCTTTTTACTTCCGAGACATTTACAGCAAACTTTTTAATGTAGGACTACTTTGGTTGTTTCCGTAAATAATTTCATCAGGTTGGTAAACGAATGAATAGCAAAGTTCTTTCACAACCATTTATTTTTCACAAGCCGACGTTTCGATGACCGTCTGTCATCTTCAGAATTGCCCTGATGAAGATGACGTCGGCTTGTGAAAAATAAGTGGTTGTGATCAAAAAACTTTGCTATTCATACTTTGGTTGTATAATTGACAACCCTCGCCATGTTAGTGCACTTGCACACTGTCTTCTTACCGCTAAGTATTGTATATATACATGTTTCATAACAAACTGTAAACCATAACTCTCAATTTTCAAGCACAGACTAAATCAAATTATAGAAATAGAACATAATGAACAATGGGAACATTTTATGTGATATTATTATATATAGACAATCCCCAGATAACGTTACCTTAAAAAAAAACTGTCCTTGATTTTTATGTATCATCCCACACGATTGTACATGTATGTCAACTATGTATCTCTTTTTAATGTAACATTGTGAATATTAATGAAGTTTGAAAAAAAAAATACTTTGGTTGTTGTGTGACAAACCTGTGCACTTGTGTTCAGTGAGCCGCTTGTATCCAGGCAGACATTCACAGATGTAGGACCCTGGCAGGTTCATACAGCGAGTGTTGTCACCACACTTGTGGCTATAGGGACTGCCGATGGAGGCACACTCATCCACATCTGTAATGGTACAATATGAAACAATTAGTACTTAGAAATCAGGTTATGTCTTTTGATGATTGAACTAATGTTTAACAAGGCTTTTATCTTTTCCCTGCTGAGGCCACACCAATTTAATTTGTTGGTTCTCGGATTTTTTCAGAAAAAATATGAAGCGACAGGGCGAAAAAAATAAAAATAAAAACAGGTCTAGGCATCCTATTATAGCCCAAAAGACTACAATATGAGCCATGAAGTCAAACAAAAAAAGGACTGGGTTAAAAATTTAAAGTAATAAAATTTTGAACTTTTAATCAAACACTGCATTGATAGATAGGACAAAAGCT